GTGTGTGTGTGTGTGTGTGTGTGTCCGGGTGTGTGTGCGTGTGTGTGCGTGTGTGTGCGTGTGCGTGCGTGCGTGTGTGTGCGCGCGGGTTTGGGCACATTTGCGAATGGTGGTTATACACCTATTATATGTTACCATACTTATATCTAGGAAACATCATTGAATTTAAAGATCGTAGTATAACCACTAATAACGAAAATGTGGTCGAGCGATTCACCGGCACCAGCTCACCTCTGCAGCCACCCAAACGCCCACCGAGGCCGAAAGGTTCTTTTATTAGGGTAGGTGGCACGTATTTTCATCCGATTTATTTGATACCCATCGTAGGAGGAACGGGGAAACTACCTCAACTCCATGCAGGTAGTCATGAATTTCAGTAGGATTGTATATAATGATATACACGAATTTATAACCCATATGATATACTATAAGCATGTATATGAATATCTATAAATATCTTCATTCTATGAATGTGTTCATGATAATACGGATACTGTGCTATTCTACTTACTATACTCACTAAAACATCATCGCAGTCAATTCAATAATCAATGTTATATGGCTTGTTACGCAGGGTCCTACATCTGTCCCAAGCTGCGCAAAGTTATTTACACTGCATTTAGTGGCAATTGGTGGTGGTGGGCGAAGAATGATGATCAGTTGGACGGCTAATATTGATCTCGATGAACCTACAAGTATGTTTCGAACCCTTACTTAATATGAGCGTCATTTACTTTTAAATGTTGTTATCCGCATCCTTTCTCACATACACGGCATCCATCGCACTCAGTGTGAACGGGAGGTGTCATAACCCCGTTCACGCGCACAGATTTAGCATACGAGATATCTGCACAGGGTCGTGCTAATATTGAACGTTTCTATAGGAGGAAAGATGGACGGAAAGAAAAACCTCTATTTTGTGTTTAGACTAAGCAGAAATCCAGGATTTTCCAGTACTAAACGCGTGTTTATCGAAGCACCGCACGTGTACACATGGATTCTCACTCTAATTATAAACACCAGTCGTATCTCTGTAATTAGAACGCTGGGTATCAATAATAGTCAGATGGCAATTAATGTTTCTTTGAAAATTTATTTTCTGCAAATAAATTCTTTCAGATTCGACGAAATTGACAGTACCTATTCCAGAGAATGGTGGAGCGATTGAATTATTTGCCACCCTTACAAATTACCTAGGAGAGTCAACAACTGTTAATCATACAGTCACCATAGATGATGTCCATAACACCGTGACTGAGATTGAAGGACCATCGAACGTCAATGCTAAGCACATGTAAAAATATAATTATGGCATTCGCAATTAGCATTTATTATTGTTAATTGTCTCACACAACGTATATCACAACGCTCAGAACGCATTTTTTATTAGTTCCTGGCGTGTTGCGGGGAATAAATATAGGTAATAGGTTACATAAATGGGAATAATTTTTCATGCAACTGAATGTATCATTCGTAAATAACGTATTCTTTTGTAGGTTACGGTTGTGCGTGCGAGTGTCCCAACCAAAAGGTTGTGGTAACACGTCAGCTAAGCTCTTTTACGATTGGACTCTATCAACTGTTGACAATGACCTGTTACTAGAGAAGAACGAGGGAAGATGCATTCGTGTTGACGCGGACCTGCTAAAAGGTTAGAAATAAAATAATATAGTTACGACCTAAAAAAAACTTCACATGCATTTTATTCTGGCATCAAACAAATTGGTTAACATTATAGTTATTGGTTATAACATCATACAAGTAAAAACTTCTGTTGAATGATGTTTATTTTTAGTGAGTTTTTGTTTCCATCAATGATACATTGTTACAAATTAGTTCACATTGTATATGGTTAAGATAAAGGATAATAATTTAATTATTGTAAAAAACTAATTATTTCTATTATCGTAACAATAACTCATTAAAAACTCGTTCAACGCAAATTATTTAACTGCATCTAAATTGTTTTCAATTTACGGATATAAATGGAATAATTTGAATTTCATATTTGAACACTATTTATTACAGATCATGAAGACAAGATATTAGAAGCTACTGTAATTGCAAAAGATACACAGTCCATTGTAATTGGGACAGCTACTAAAGAAATAACTGTTGTCCCAATGCCATTAAATGCCAGGGTGATAGGTGAGCCTTAAGACCTATATCTCTTATATTATTAAAGTTAATGAAGAAATGTAATTTGAACAACGGCAGTTATCCCACACGTCTCTCCATTCTTACCATCTCAACCTCTCTATCTGCACTTTACATCGCGCCCTCTCTCTCTCTCTCTCTCTCTCTCTCTCTCTCTCTCTCTCTCTCTCTCGTCTTTCTCTGCTTCTCCTGCTTACCCTTCCATCTTCTTGTGTCCCTTATCTTTATCTTATATTAACTTAATAGTTTTGTCTCCCTCTCTCCCTCTTTATCGCTCTCTATAATATATGCGTGCGTGCGGCTGTGCGTGTGTACGAATGTGTGTGCCAATGTGTGTGCGCCTACATGATTTGTAATACGAAGTTTACCAATGTTCGTGCATACAACGACATTTGCTATCGATTTTTCCCTATCGAAAAATTTATACGTCTGGCAGCATTCCTTCCACGGTGCCCCCTTGGGAAAGTTTGTATCCTGTCAATATCCCAATGGATAAATGTTTCCATTGGTATATTTGCAACGTAATGCATAACGTAACGTAAACATAACGTTACAACATGTAACACGTAACAACGTAACATGTAACAACGTGTAAACGTTTTGCAAACGTAATGTATAAAAATGTAAAACGAAATGTAAGAAAGGGGCGATGAGAAAGGTAACGGAGGGAATGTAGGAGAAGGGTATAGTAGGAAGCGAAGGAGCAATGGAATCCGGCAAAGTGGAGAGGCCGGTGGTGACGAAGGATGGGAGATGATTGATGTAGACGAAGAAATGGAGTGGATGGAGAAATACCGTGAGGGATATCGTGGGTAATGGTGGTTAGAATGAAGGAGGTAAGCAGACGATAGAGAAAGGGCGAGGACAGGAAGTAGTGCATGGAGTCGGGTTAATGAAGAATGGTCTAATGGCGCATATTGGCCTGAAATTTTGTTTGGCGCGTTGTAATGTGGAACATATTAGTTATCACTGTATAATAATTCAAATTCCTTTAGGGGGAAATTCCCGCGTTGTTTCTGTCAATTCGCATTTGACGTTGGAAAGTAGCCATTCAAAGGACAGCTCTGTCAGAAAACCTCAAGTGATGTGGTCTTGCATTAGGGAGGTAGGCTTATAATATATATATTTAGTTAATCAAAGTACATGATACCCTGTAATTCGACGTAACATCTCCGTGTGATTCTCAAATACCAATAGAACTTAATAATATAAAATATCTTCATACTATGTGTACCACTATTCAACATCATGCAAGATCTTGTACGCCGTGTAGGTTTGTACATAAACATAAACGGCGTATGCCGACTCGGGGTTTACAGAATTTTACAGTTTTTTACAGAACCTACTGATAATCTTCATGTGACGCAGAAGAGTGATTTATTATGTTTTACTCTGTTCGGTGACTGAAAATCGTTAATCTCTTAGTACCATACTTGACTGACCTATTTGGGTTGTCCGGATATGAATAGCGTTTTGTTCTAATTTATCGAAGGAATCAGATCAGCAAAATTTTGACTGCAATGAAAGTATCAAAGACGTATCGAACCGCCAGAAGTTGACTATTACTAATTTCCCTCCTGGCAACTACCAGTTTAAGCTAGTCGTGACAAAGGGAAGCAGACAAAGTGAGACCGAAGTAGATGTTGAGGTGAAAGATCACCCTGTCTTGAAGGTAAGCATATTGGCAAATCTAAACAATAATCAATATTCCTATGTAACGTATCTAGCATGAACACTAAACCAAGTATTATAGCATGCCAGGTAGACCAGTGGCGCCATCTTATGATTTTTCTCATTAATATTTTCATATTTGTCCTTAGTGAAATTGGCATACCTAGCCACTACGTTTGAAGTGGTGCGACAGGAGATTTTATACATTGCCAACTTCCGCTGTCGCTTTTCTAATCCCGAGTAGCACCCCCGCATGCGGCTAAAGAAGTATGAGAAGTAGTAGAAGAACTTAGACACAAACTTATTAGATAAATTCATGATTGTTTTATGCATACAACTATAGGCCTAACGTTGAGACAACACTTAACATATTCGTATACCTCTATGAAATAGATTCGCATTAAGCCGCAACACGGCAAGAGGAAAGCAATACCCTCCAAGTCATTTGTAGTAAAATCGTGGATCGAGCATGAGAATCCCCTCACAAACGTTACATGGCGTATGACAACTGATAGCGACGGTAAGATTGGCACACTGTACACTGAATCTACACATCGTAATGCATATGAATTAACAATCTAAGCTTTCTCTGCATTTTCAACGTAAACATGCAAGAATAGAATTTAAAATGCCTTTTCGGCATATATAGATTGATTGTCATTATCTTCACGTTCGTGGTAAGAATGTACTTTTGCTTCATTTCGTCATCATTCGAATGCGAACTAACGCCATATCTAATGAACAATTAAAAATACATTTTAATGATTATCACCACGTGATGAAACCAAAAGCTTGATCGGAGTCGAATAAAATTACAGAGCTTGTGATGATTGAGCCCGACATACTCGTGGATGGCTTATCACATACTCGATCTCTGCCAGGAATGACTCATGCCTGGATTGTCTTAAAACAGGGTACGGTTTCATTACTCGTTCCATAGTAATGACATGGCTTCATACGGATGCTTGCAAATTGTGTTCATGGTAGCGTTTGTGCTCTGATATAATATATAGCTAGCTATACATGCAGGTCGCAGCACCCATCATAAATTCTATAACGGTAAGTTGATCTGTAGCGTGTACTGTGTTATTTTTAACACATTGTATGATGATAACGTGAACAGGGGTGTGTGTTACGCGTTGACAGATACTTTGGAGCCGGGCAATCACAACATACAGGTAATGGCTGAATCAATCTCAAACAACGGCACTGCGATCAATGGCAGTGCAACAGTAGAGATCATTGTACCCCTTGGTCCAACTGGTTGCCATTGCATCGCTCCATCAGAGTACACGCCGGCTCTTGATGACACGGTAAGACTTTGTAGGTATTATGTTTGAAACGCCAAATTGCGTGGAATATAGACGCTATGATGTAAGAAACAGCCGATGCAATATTATGGTACAAAATTGTATATACAGTACACGTTTCATAAAGAACATGTTAGATACTGCAGTTTCATTTAATTCGGCTCGTAATGCTAAATCCAACATCGGCCATGATGCAAACGACTATTTTCGCGCTACATTAACGTCGCTGATTTATTAATTAGCTGACGCTTAATTGATTCTTAAATTGATTTATATCAGTCCCGCATGTTCTTTTATTGCGATTTCAGCCATATCATGTTAGGATATATTATGATATATTATATATTAATATATTTTATATCAGTCCCGCATGTTCTTTTATTGCGATTTCAGCCATATCATGTTAGTATATATTATGATATATTATAAGGAGTGTATAATATACACTCCTGATAATAGTATAGATACTCATGCACCTGTTATATGCGAGAGTTTGTAGATTCCTACCATAATAAAGGCACTGAGCCGCAATGCTATTGTTGCGAGGTAGAGAACGTTCGTAACAAAGTCGAGTATGTTCCACATGTCCCGGATGTAGTCATACAGCCCTTCATCCCATAGCTGCTTAATCTCCGCCCAGATCAAACCTGCAACGCATCAATTATGTCGATATAAATCCACAAATATCATCTCAATATTGAATCATTACAATTTCGATAACATTTTGATGTGGATAATTGTGTTTTTATTAACATGTTTAATAATATTTCCTCACCGTTGAAAGGCGACGTAACGTGTAAAGGATTATATATCCTTACCACCTGCCGTTTTATGATAGATAGACAGTTCGCACGTGCTTTATTGCTCAAACAAAAGCTCACTTTAATTAAGTTGAAAACTGAATGGAAAGTAAATTACGAGATATGAGGAAAATGAGAGAAAATGTAGTAAGTGTAGACGAGTGAATGTAAGGTAGTAATGATGAGTATATATAGACATCTACGAAACAGGCGTAGAAGCGATTTAACCCCACCCCCACCGTCTGTTATACTAATAGTCTTCACCTGTTAGTCTTAGACTGTTGACTGATGATGTATCATGTATGATTATCATGTTATGCCACCATGTTATCTGTTGACTATATATATCACTAGTCTTACTTGTTTACTACTTTCCAGGGTATGGTAGAAATAAAAGTGGAAGGGTGTACAGCAAATGACCAGGAGAATAATGCGCTGTCGTACAAATATTTCATGAATGGGAACTCCATATCTGAGGATACGCTTTCAAATAGGCTGAATACACGTGGTCTGCCGGCAGAAAATCGCAAAACTATGAGGAACACATTTAGAGCAGAGGTTCGTAATTCAAAAAAAAATTACGAATTACGAATTAATGCATTTAATCGATAATCGATCGATAATAATCAATGCATATACAATAATAATCGTTAACAAGAAACAAACGGTAGACAGACGGTGAATATCGCGTTTACTATGCATTCGACTGCCGTGGGAATTATGGCAGTAATTCACTGCTTTTATGCAGATATGCGATGACGATGGCCAATGTACAGAATGCACTGCCACGTCGACAGTCATCAATAGTAACATCAACGTGGACCTGGGTGAGGCTAGTAAAGCAGCTGACGAGGCAACCGCGGAGGCCGAACGCACAGGTCAGACCAAGCACAAACTCTGTTTCTTATACCTCTATGGTGGGAATTAGCTTAAGACCAGGAGCGTATAATATAGATAGGAGCGTATAGTCTATATTACACTCTACTGATAAGATGTCCTACTAATGGAATTAGTATAGAATTATCTATGGCAATACAAAATAGACTTAATCGCATTTCGGTGTAATTTATATATTGTGTTTATGAAACCGTCTTTCTCCATGCGCAAATAACTTCACTAATATATCGCTTACGAACTGATTATGAGTGCGGACAGACGATTTCTTTTGCAAGCACGACAATTTTGATATCAGAAGGTAATCTATAGCCGCGTTCACACGGAGCGTTCGACCCGGGTCGTTTTCGTACCGAGAAAACGACCGTGTGAACGCTTGGCCCGGGGACGCATTAATTTTGACACGGGTCGTATTCGACCCGCGTCGTTTCGCTCCGTGTGAACGCGGTTTATGAAACTGTGCAACGGTTTTCCTCTTCAGGAGACTACGTGAGCGGTATACGTGAGAATTCGAATATTGCCGCGTTGGCAAATACGGCTGATGATGTCCATGCTTCACGTAGAAAACGATCTCTTAAAAACGATCTGGCATCTCTCAATGAGAAACTGGTCAATAACATTATTTCATTACAAAACCAGGTGATTTACTCAAAGCATCTCATTTTTATTATAATCGAACGAAGCACGTTCGATCTACGAATTAATTACCAGTCTTAAAGGGGACATACATGAGGGTTTCATGCGTATCGATGAGCATATATATATAAATATATATTTGATTGTGACGAAGAATAAAAGAGCTAATAAAGTTTAATGCTATCAGCCATACTAAACGTTATCTTGCCTGACGACCTGTAGTATTTTAGTATTTATGCCTTACAGATGGTTTCTGGTGGAGAGGATCATGGCACTGACGTTATACTGAACTCATTTTTTCCAATAAAGTTCACTGATATTATGCAGACATTAAAAGAGGACGTCGTAAACATCACGTTATGGTAAAAATAGACCCAGTTCTTGTGGTAGTATAGATTGGCATAAAACAATTTGATAGACAAAATTGGAGCTTTTTACCTTTGCTAGTTGAGTGGACATAGTGAGTAATGCATATATGCCAGACAATCTATTATCCTTACTTCTGACAGGGCATTGGAAACGATGGCGAATGTTGGCGAACAAGTGACAGAGGAGACAGCCGACAGTGCAGTAATGCTGATGAATATGTCGACAAATGCGACACTAAAAAGGTAACTAATCATCAGAAATCTTTATTTATTCCTGGCTCACGTAATAAATTTTAAATATTGCCAATAAATGGCGACATGGGTTCTACGTGAAATATTCTGCTGTATGTCCAAACCTTTATAAAATTCATGTCGTAGTATTTTCGTAAAATTATTATTTGAATTCAGAGAACGCATACACCAATAGTTTGACACGAAAGATCTCTACCCAAGTTTTTCATTATTTGTGCAAAAATTCCTTGTAGAATAGCATATGATCTGTAATCGGGCATGCCCAGTATTTTGCTGAAAGTATGGTTCTAAAAGAAAGACACGACAGCTTGACACGAAAAATAAATCCCGATACCTCACTTTAACGATTATGAGGTGTCTCCGAGAGCTTACGTAACACTAATAAAATTTGCCAATAGATGGCAATGTGTGCCCCAATATAACGCCGATATTCAATCGAATCGTGCGTTTTCAATTATTGCATAAATCTAGTTATTGTCACTATGTGTCAAGCTACCACGTAGGCCTACAGTGTGCACCATTTCCCCTATTAACGTCATAGTTGGGATCCTGAAAATCGCGACTTATTGATCAATATAGGCGCTTTGCTTTAACTGAAACGACATCAAATGGAACCGTTAAAAATCTTAATAATGCACTTACACTTGTGTTTTAAACATATTAATATTAAATTATAGATAAATTTACAGATTAGTTATTGATTAATTATAAATAAATGAAGCAAAATATCCGTTAATACGAAGTGCATAGATTAGTTCTTATAATATAGCCGGCGCCTCAGCGACTGTGGTATTTTTTCGTAACGACGTTATATAACGAAAATACGTTCAATGAAACGACGTTAATAGGGGCATTGGCGTACGTTAAAAACCGCATGTACATTCAAGCAGTGTTATACAACCCCGCTTTTAGACTTTATTAACATTCGTACTAACATTCTTATAAGAAATTATCATGATTATTACTGACTATAGGCTACTGTTATTTCACAATCATATACGGAGTGAATGAAGTTAATCGTAGTATATTTTTGCAGGGACATTAAACGATTACTAACGACAAACATCGCCAAACACATGGACATTGGTGGTGAATATTTGCGAGACAGCAGCAGTGTTAAGATGGAAATTCACCATGTGATGACGGGCAAGCTGAAAGGTTTTGGCAACGCACTGAACGTCGATTTTCAGTCTGTCAGGTAAACGCATTCACACTAAAGGAAGTTTACGGATTAATGAACATAACAGGGTACCACATTTCGCTCGTAAGTCCCGTGTTCGGAACTCTAAACTCGAACACCGGAAGAAGCGCAGGTTTGATCG